GTCAGGAATGAAACATGATACTGACAAGCAGAACATATTTTGGGTTCTCTATTCCAGAAAGCCTCCCTTTGTGTCTGTAACAAAGATTTCCAGTGACTAAATATCTCTTTAATTCACATAAGGAGGCTAATTTCAATTCATCTTAGAGCTATATTTTAATAGGTTCCAATGAAACCAAGATGGCAGTCATCCGGACCTGCCTGCACAAGGAAGGAAACATATTCTAAAGAGACCTGCTACTCTCTAGCACTAAGATTCTAAGCTAACTCCTGTGTTTCTACAAGCTTCCATCAAAAACCTGCCACGAATTTCATTTTGTATCAGGAATGTATAATAGTAGGAAGCATATAAATGCTGAATTTAGAGTATGGAGTGAATTATTTCAGTACTAAAAGATATTTTCAAGAGTTAAATCTAACCCAAATGATGCTTTAATTACCAACATATTGAACTGGATTTTGATAGCTAAAATTCTAGGGTGATGACAAAAAAAAAAAGAAAAGAAAAGAAAAGAAAATTGCAACGTGCTGAATTAAACTTTAAAAATCTTTACTTTTATTCAGTAAATTGGAAGTGTTTTGATTTTACACCTACTAAATATTATTTTCTCCAGTCATAATGTCTTAGTAGTGATTATTCCATGGATTACATACTAAAAACATCATGTTCAATAGCTCACAGGGCCGGCACTGTGGCATAGCGGGTAAAGCCACTGCCTGCAGTGCCAGCATCCCATATGGGTGCTGGTTCAAGCCCCAGCTGCTCCACTTCCTATCCAGCTCTCTGCTGTGGCCTGGGAAAGCAGTAGAAGATGGCCCAAGTCCTTGGGCCCCTGCACCCGTGTGGGAGACCTGGAGGAAGCTCCTGTCTCCTGGCTTTGGATCAGCGCAGCTCCGGTGTTGTGGCCAACTGGGGAGTGAACCAGCGGAAGGAAGACCTCTCTCCCTCTCTCTCTCTGTAACTCTGACTTTCAAATAAATTTTTTAAAAGATAAAAAATATATAGATCATATTACATAACAAAAAAGTTTTTCTAAGATCATAGTAGATGTTCTGGACCAGCTTATAGGGTGGTTAAGCCTTTATATTTTTTTAAGATTTTATATATTTATTTGAGAGGTAGAGTTATAGACAGAGAGAAAGTTCTTCCTTCCATTGGTTCACTCCCCAAATGGCCGGAGCTGAGCTGATCCAAAGCCAGGAGCCAGGTGCTTCTTCCTGGTCTCCCACGTGGGTGCAGGGGCCCAAGGACTTGGGCCATCTTCTACTGCTTTCCCAGGCCACAGCAGAGAGCTGGATTGGAAGAGGAGCAGCCAGGACTAGAACCAGTGCCCATATGGGATGCCGGTGCTGCAGGCAGAGGATTAACCTACTGCGCCATGGTGCCGGCCCGGGTGGTTAATCCTTTAAGATCATGTGGTAAAACCTTATTCATTTGATAAAGGACAGAGTGAATTAAAATTCACTTTTTAAATTAAACACACATACCCTAATTTTTGTTGCTTTTCAGAAAAAATATACAATGAGATAAATATGGATTGCATATTCTCAACTAATGACCATTTTTAATTATTGTAAGTCAATGTCATAAATGATCAGTAATATCAAAGTTTTTGAAAATAGATATTTTCAAGGTCCCATGTCCATATTTGGTTTAGGGCTAGTTAACTAAATAAATTATTCATTTGGATGCAAGTGCACTTCAGTTAATTCACAGAAAAGAGTTTTATGCATAATATGCATTTGCCATGGACTTCTTGCATACCCTTCATATGTGCTACTAATTTTTCCTTCATTCTCTTTTATTTGTATGTTTGCAAAGAGTATATAAAATATACTCATAAGTATCCATGAATCTATAGCTAACCACCACTAGAAATAGTGCTTTATCCATAGCAGCCAAAGTAAATTTGACAAGTAAATCCTTCTAGGGACAGATCCTGTGAATATAAACTTGAGATGAGAACCCGCTAAAAGGATCATAACCCATCACTCTGAAGTGTTAGTTGCTAAGGCAACAATAGACTTCTGCAGAGTTTATCAGATTGGAGCGTGTGACTTAGAGGGAAGAATCCAGAAATAAGATCAATAATTCCAGCACAAGTGCTTTTTAGCATTTAAATAACATTGTAATGAGAAAGCTACTCTTTTCACTGGCTTTCTATTTTCACTTCATGGAGAGACCATTTCTACCCAGGCCTTTCTTACAGATGACTGACCTTCTGTGCCATTTGATGCTAAATACCACATCACAAATGCATCACTGATGTGAGAAGGCCTGAGATGGATCTGTGAACTGAATGTGACCATGAAAACTAGAACCAATTCCTGGCTTAACAGAGACGACAGAAGTCTTGTTTATAATGTGATTTTGTTTCTGTCTGTTTTTTTAATACACTCATTTGCTAATGCACTATCAGTAATCACATCAATGAAAATTTTGGTATTTTATAACCACCAAAATCTTTATTTTGTGTTTTAGTGGTAAAAGACAATTACATAGCCTTCTTTTTATTAAAAAAAGATTTATTTATTTATTTGAATGGCAGAGTTACAGAGAGGCAGAAAGAGAGAGAGAGAGTCTTCCATTCGCTGGTTCACTCCCCAGACGACCGCAACAGTTGGAGCTGTGCCTATCCGAAGCCAGGAGCCTCCTCCAGTTCTCCTACACAGGTGCAGGAGTCCAAGCACTTGGGCCATCTACCACTGCTTTCCTAGACCACAGCAGAGAGCTGGATTGGAAGTAGAGCAGCCAGGACACGAACCGGCACCCATATGGGATGCCGGCACTGCAGGCAGTGGCTTTACCTGCTATGCCATGATGCCGGCCCCAACATAGTCTTCTTGATTGAGAACAGCACTGTCAGCTCATGTCCTCTTTCTGTCTCAGACCTTAGGATAGCATCCCTAAGGTCTATGGAAGATGCTATTTTGTTAAGGAAGGAGAAATGGTTAAAGTGCTTAAGTTTTCTATGTTTTCTTAAAGATCTCACATTGAATATCCCATTTCTGCTATATTCAACCTATGGCATGATTATTGTGAACTGTTCATATATTAATATGATGATATCTTGTGAATAAGATTTTAGTTATTAAGACTAGAAGATAGAGGCCAGTGTTGTGGTACAGTGGGTTAAGCCACACTTGTGGTACAGGTACCCAGCTGCTCCACTTCTGATCTGGTGCCCTGCTAATACACCTGGGAAAGCAACAGAAGATGGCCCAAGTACTTGAGCCCCTGTCACCCACATGGGAGGACATTTGGGGAGTGAACCATTAGATAGAATCTCTCTGTTTCCCACTCTCTCTCTCTCTCTCTCTCTCTCTCTGTGTCTCTTGCTCTTTGTTGCTCTGCTTGTCAAATAAATAAATAAAACTTTAAAAAAAATACTGAAAGGCAAACCAGTAATAAATGGTGAAATATTTATTTGGTGGTATGATGGTTAGCATTATTATAAAATCTAAAGATGTTTTCTTATCTTTATATGTGTTGAAATTTTTCTACCTCCTGTAAGAGACAATAATAATGTTTTATTTAAGTTACTATGCTATGTGTATTAGACAACCAATTTTTAGACTTGTAATTTCAAAAAAGAGGAGCAACCCACTATAAAATAGTAGTAATATGTTCAATATACAAAAAAAGGAAAACTCAGAAAAATCTTATCAACATGTAACCAAGCCTCTTTGATTTTCTTCATTTGGAGTGATGCAGTCATTTGAATTGACACATCAGCCACTTAAACAATTTGCTTCAAGATTGAAGAGTTGGGGCTGGTGTTCTGGCGTAGCAGTAAAGCCGTTATCTGCGATGCCAGCATTCCATATGGGGCGCCAGTTCAAGTCCCAGCTGCTCCACTTCTGATCTAGGTCTCTGCTAACGGCCTGGGAAAGGCTCAGAAGGTGGTCCAACTATTTGGATCCCTTGCCATCCACATGAGAGACCCGGAAGAAGCTCCTTTCTCCTGGTTTTAACTTGGCCCAATACTGGCCTTTGCAACCATCTGGGGAAGGAACCAACAGATGGAAGATCTTTCTCTCTCATTGCCTCTCCCTCCATCTCCGTAGATTTGAAAATTTTGTTTCAAAAACAAATAAATCTTTTTAAAAAAAAAGATTGTTAATGTTGCTTAATATAACTACATGCCAAAAATTTAAAAATCGGTGTTTGTATTCTTTATCATTTTATTTTGTTTTATGTTTTGGTTTGAGAGCCTTGCAATAGTATTCAAAGTTCCCCAATGCAGGTCAGACATGTGCACTTAAGACTCCGCTGAGGATGCCCTCATCTTGTATTGGAGTAACTGGACTCCAGTCCCAGCTCCACTTCTGATTCTAGCTCCCTGTGAATGCGCACACTGAGAGGCAGCAGATGGCGGCTTAAGTACCTGGATCCACGACATCCACTGGGAGACCCCCATGGAGTTTCTGACTCCAGGTTCTGCTCCCATCTGCCCCCACCCTCGCCACTGCAGATATTTAGGGAAGGAACCAAAGGCTGCAAGATCTCTGGAAAACTTCTCTCTGTCTCTCTGTCTTTCAAACTTGAATAAAATTCCCCAAAGTAAGATATTGATTTCCTTACAATTCCTTCCTTTCTCAAAGGTAGCTGCACAGTGAGATCCCCAGGAAAGCTTTCAAAACTGTTGATACCTGAGTGCCACCCCAAGAGATTCTCAAGTAATTTGAATGGAAGCCTGTGTGCTGGGTCTTACAATAGCCTAACCAGGTGATTATAATGTGCGCCAGACTTGACATCCACTACCCTACTGGATGTCAATCTGATATTCTCATTACAGCCTACCACTGGGCTGCCACCCAACTTTTGCACTCATCCTGTTTTCTGAAGCCATGGTCTGCCTTTCTCTCTCTTCCACAGATGTGTCTGTCAAGTCTTGAATGTCACTTAGAAAAAAAAAATCATTGCTCACCGGAGTCCATTTATTCTACAATTTCTGCCAACATGTGCCTTTTTATTATACACATTAGAAGGAAGGACAATCACTTTTAGGAGTGTTTATTTTTTGTTGAAAGATACCAGTGGGATTGAAAGTCAAGTCAGCTTCCAATTGCACAGTTTAAACAAGGAAGTTTTACCTATTTCAGGATTACAAAGCATCTCATGGATTTAGAAAGATTCATACTATTGACAAAGTCCATGATGCAACATAAGCAATAAAGGGGCTAAATTATTTATTTTACATATCTACAACACATACTTTCATATTTTCTGCTCAACCACAAATCACAGAGGCAAATATTTAAGTACATGAAAAAGCTTCAAAACATTAAAAAAAAAAAAGAAAATTAACATTTTGAAAAAAATCACAGGTAGAAAGCTCAATTAAATAATAACATTGACAAATAAATAGTTAATCAGCTTTACTTATTAGCTGCTGCCAAGCATTTCTGGCATTCCACTCCAAGCAAGAGTCAGCATGCGGGGTACAACGTCCTACTGGGAGACTGGAAAAAGCTACAGGGCTTGTTTTCAAAAGTGAAAATGTCAGGAGCTCTTTCGCATTTTACATAGGGAAGATCATGGGCGGGCCACCGGACCTGTCTGAAATGCAACTGTGGATAGTTCATGGCTACCATATTTCTTTTCTTTTTTTGTTTCTTCTGTTGTGAAGGTTGTTTTGGGGGATGGGGATGGGCTAGGGAGTGGAAGGTACCTGAAAGACTCTTCTGTCTTACAGATCCCTGCATAGGATCAACAACTTTTAAGAGCAGGAGGCGTGGAATTGAATTGCAAATTGCTCTGATTGGTCGTGACCTCATGAAAAACTTAAAAAGGAAAAAAATAAAATAAAAACTCTCCTTCCCACCCCCACCCTCATTCACCTCCCCCAAGAAGCTCCTGATACTCAGGGCAGCTCACTGGGTGCGATCAAAGTAGAAAGCGTCAACTTTCAAGTGAGACACAGCAATGGCAGGCTCCAGTCTCTCGCAAAGCAAACCCAGTCTGCAAAGCAGAGGGTCGGTGACCCCCGGTCAGTCCCGGTCCGAGAGCGGGCGCCCTAACTCAGGCTGTGCTTGCCGGCCTTGCTGGCTCGTTTCCGCTCCCTGGGGTGCGGGGCGGGCTTGGCCGGGGACACGCTCTCGAAGTTGTGGCTGGACTCGTTGTGCTGCCGGGTGTACCGCTTGCACTTGCAGGCGGTGACCACGGTGACTTTGTAGGTGCGCGTGCTGCCGTCCTGACACTGCAGCTGGATCCTCTGCGTGCGCGTCTTGTCGTTGACGCAGCGCCACTCCTGCGCGCTCCTCCTGCTCCAGAACTTGGTGCCGTAGCCTCCCCCGATCCAGTTGGGGAGCACGGGTAGCGGCAAGCACTCGCCGGCACACACGAGCTCCTTCAGCGGGCTGATGCTGGTGCACTGGCCGTCGGAGATGTACTTGGTGGACCGCAGCTCCCGGCAGCCCACTTGAACCCGAGCTGCGGAAGACGGAGAGACAAGGCATCAGAGAAGAGGACCCAGGACGGAAAGAACATCTGAGCCCTGGCGAGTTACCAGGTAGCGAGAGGACGCCGGCTCTGCCTGCAAGCTCACAGAGACCCTGTCGTGAGAGTTACTTGGCTGTGAGTGACTTGTGCCGCACAGGGGCCTGATATTTTTTGGGTATTTCCATAGCTGACTGCTTATTAGAGTATTTGAAAAATCCCACTTTCTGAGTCTGGCTCCCGCAGTCAAGATTTAGCGGCTCTTAACATTTGTGTGCAAACATTCATTCTTCAACCAGTTTAGAACAGTATCCTGTAATGTTCACTCTCTGATGGGTCCTATTGGTTCATGTCTGCAAGTGCTTTTAATTAGCTTTTTAAAAACTCTGTTGAGAAAACGTGGGAAGTGTTTCAATGCTGCCTACAACGCATGTGCACTCTGTAGGATTTTATTGCAATTATAGCGTTCAGCTGCAGAAGATCATACATATGTGTACAACATCTGACATCTTGCATATCAAACTTAATAACCGCATTTCAAACATAAATTCCCAAGCTGTGTTTTAAAAATACAAATTGAAAATGTTTGAAATGCAAAATGCCACCACAACTCAGCATTTAAAGAATATAAAAGCCCCTAAATCAGGAACGTATGGTTACCATAACAACTTGGCTACATTTCCATGAATTTTATGGGAGGAAAAAAACAGTGCCTTAACATGTCTGATTTACAACTGCAAAAGGAACTACGGTGTTCATTTCCTGAATATTGGCCATGGCAAACGTTTTGTTTTAGTTATTTAGATTTGATAAGTATGTTCCCTAATTGGCTGGGTTTTATTACATGCCTAATATAATTAAAGCAAAAAAATTAATCTTGAAAATATTTGCAGTTTTCCTTACCCTTGCTTTGTTATCTAAACTTGAACAGAATTGCCCAGAACAAGCTTGAAAATGCATCAAGGCTTATTAACCAGTATGACAAAAGAATGTTTTAAAGTATAGTCAAATGTAAAAAGTCAAGGAAGGGCATTGCAATGGTTTTACATAGAATACTAAAGCTACCTCAAGGCAGACACTGAATCAGGAGTTTAAGTTCATCTCTCTACACCAGAATTTCTGAGATACATGTATGTTCACACACACATGCATATAAATCTAAAGGTGTGTGATGAAAATCAAAGGGAGAACTGTTTGCTAGACAGAGTGGTGGGCTTGCCTCACTCGGATTCCAGCTCACCTCACAGCTGCCTGGGGAATGCACCTGGAAGCAGCCGGAGATGACTTTGACCTGTCTAGTTTTTGTTCCTGTGCACACAGAGAGCCAGTTTTTTTTTTTTTTTTCCAGTGACAGTTCACTGCCAGTGAATCCCACTACGTTGCTCCGGAATCTAATAACAATCAGATAAGTTCCTATGTGCTTGAAAACAACCATCTTGGTGAAAAGTTCAAACACGCTGACTGTCTTGGAAAGACAGTAGCCGCTGTGTCAGCTTTGACTTCTCAGAGGTCAAGGCTCCTTGGGGTGGTTGAATGGAGCTGGGAGGAGGGGCAGAATATTTGTGCAAGATTTCCTGTGCGCTGTGCTGTTTCCCCCTGATTATAAGCATGCAAACTCTCCTCTAGGAAAGGAATGAAACAAAAGCTAGAAGACATTTGAATCCCCCTAACTAGTGGTTAATTAGTGTGCCAAGTCAGCAGACAGAAAAGGAAAAAAAAAAATGCACCCGGCACAAAACATTACTGTATGTTATTCCAAATCCCTTAAGTGATAAGAATGTCCCCAGTAGTTCACAACAACACATAATTACTTAAATTTTGGCCTATTCATAAGAAATTATTTTAGAAAGATATGATTCCCCCATGTGTTTCAGTTTTATTCCCTTTTACACTGAGCTACTGAGCATAATCAAAACTTTCAACTCTTTTTCATTAAACACACTTCAGAAATCCATGAGAACATCTTTTTCTCCGAAAGCTTCCTTTTCCCTCTGCGTGGTTTCTTAGGCATACTTTTGGTTAGTTACCTTGATCCACTTAATCAGAATAGCACAGGTCTTGAAACAAACTGACCAAACAATGCAGAACAATGCTTTTAAAATTTCTCATTGTCCCTGGTCCTAGAGAAGCAACAGTTTCATTCCTGGAAATGCTTTCTTTGTGGATGTCTGAAAAACTTCAGTCTGCGCTTGGATTGGCAAAGCACTGTTTCAGTTACATTAACTCTAACATCACCACCCTGGCAAGAACGCCACCCTACACGTGCGACAGATTACTCGCAGACTGTTGAACAAAACATGTACGGTTCAGGTTAGTTAGCAATGGAACAATTGGACAGGAATGTGAGCTGATGCCGCCAAACAAGAAGAGAGAAGAATCTGTACAAAGAGAAGGCACTTACTGTTTCGATCCAGTCCAGTGTGACTGAGATGCCTGCCTCCGTTCCTGGCTTGATTCAGCGTGCTGCTGCTGTTGGGGTGTGCTGGGACAGGCTTCACCACATGTGGATATAGGATTTCGGTGGCATCATTTTTAAAAGCCAAGCAGCTTTTCGTGAGGATGCACGCGAGGGGAATGAGGGACAAATGAATGGCAGGAGGAAGCATGGTGAGCAGAGGTTTGCTTGGGCTGGAGAGCCGGCCAATTCCTCCGCGGCTGCTGCATGCGCTGGAAATGTGCAGTCCCTCCTCCAGGTTGCCTTTATATAGTCACAGAGGTTTGGCGTGCATTCAGGTGTAAAGTTGTGGAGAGCTGCGGAGTGCAAACACAGAGAAGGGGTGGGATTCCTGTGTGACCCTGCAGAACACTTTTACCAATGGAAAAAGAAGACAGCAGGAAAGGAGGAGCTTGCTAACACACAGATCGCCTGAAATTGCCAGACTTGGGTTTCACTCCTGGGTGAAGCGGAGCAGGCAGGCGCATTCTATGGCAACTCCGGACTCGCCCTGTGCCGCTTCCCAGGCTGCATCTAGTTCACGTTCCGGTTGGATTTGAATGAGAATCTACTGCCGTGCCTTCGGAGAGACTGGCTTTCCCACAGTTGTCCCGTGCTCCCCTCCCGTAGTGGGTTCCTGGGGGCAGGGAGGGAGTTCATCCCGGATACCAGGAGGGATCCACGTGAGTTTAAAGAGGGGAGGACTTGCATGAAGCACCCAGTTAGTCTAACATATTTTCATTCTCGAGAAGCAAGCCAGCGATTGCTTTACTTTAAAGGATGAGGCGCAAAGCGAAAATCTGCCCCCTGGACACACTTAAATAATGCAGCTTTGATCTGTGAGAACCACTGCGCTGCGAGGCAAGTTACTGCCAGGGGTTCTGGGTGGGGGGATGATAGGCGGAGCTCTGTCTACACTAAAGTCACTGGTATCGATTTTCCTCTTAGAAATGTGCCACAAGCATTCACATCCATAGCATCGTTTTACATGAAAGAAAGTCGTTTGTGACAGGTGAACGTTCAGCCAAGTCAAAATAATTTTACTCGAGTTTTTTACTTGCTGCAGAACATATTTGCTCGTTGTTACCCAATATTTTGTTCCTGACTGCCTTTGACGCTGCCCCTGAAATAAGAAACAGAGTATTTTTCTAAACTAGTTCATGCACTCACCTGGAACAGATGTTCCATTAATTAACACGGGCCACCCATCCCTGTCCCTCCACACCTCCCCAAATCATGAATTTCCATCTGATTCCTGGGACATTCCCACTAGGATAATGTGATTCCATTGAATCACTTTTCCAGTTACAAATCAATTTTATCCTTTGTGTGGCTACTAAAAAGACCTTATAGCATGGGTGGTTTTTTTTTTTTCTGACTTGATAAGCATTTGCCTGTTGTAACAGCTATCTATCTTTCATCTATCCACCTGTCATTTATCTATCTATATATCCACCATCTAGGTAAATTTATCTACCACCTATATTGCTAACTAGCGCTCTCTCTCTCTCTCTCTCTCTCTCTGCCAGTCCATCTATATGGATTTCTTCACAGTGACACTGCTGACACTTTGGGACAGTTTTTTGTGTTGGAGGCAGGGAGGTTGTTCTGTATGTGGAGCAGCATCCCGGCTTCTACCCACTAGATCCCAGTAACACCATCACTCATACAACAACAGCAAAATAGCTTCAAATATTGCCAAGTGACTCCTAGGAAGGAAAACCAACCCTGATTGAGAAACGTAGATCCCTTACGTCACTATAAAAAGAAAGTAAAAATAAGAATACAGGACTACTTTTGGGGGTGGGTATTTGGCACAGTGGTTAAGACCTCACTTATGAGGCCCCCATCCCACACCAGAATGCTTGAGTTTCAATCTCAGCTCCACTTCTGACTCCCGGTTGCTGCTTTAATGTGCTCATAGGAAACAGCAGATGATGGTGCAAATACGGGGTTCCTGCCGCCGGTGTGGGAGACCCAAACTGGGCTCCTGACTCCAACCTGGTCAAGCCTTATCTGTTGTAGACATTTGGAGGGCAATTGAGCAGATGGAAAATCCAAACAAATAAATAAAAGTTTAACAATAAAATTTAATGATTTAAGAAGACTAATAATAGTAATGATTTATCAGGATTTTTTTTAAGAGAAAATGATTCTATAGCTTTGTTTTAAAACAATGACTGCCTTTCTGTTAGAGATATATGCTGAAATATATGTAGATGAAATGATACGGTGTCTAGAATAACATGGGAGAGGGTGGGTAAGGGTGTGGGTGCAGAAGGACTGGTTGGTGGTTGTTGGGCAGGATGACAGGTGTTCTGTTCTGTTTCCTTCTGTGTATGTCTAAAATTCTACATAATACAAAATTTACAGTCCAGAGTCACACAATCAACTTAATGTATAAGTACTTCCTAATAACAATCAGATCTCTCCTGAGGTTGCAAGCATTTATTGTAACATCCTTCCTGGAAAATAATCTATCAGTTAAATTTGTGCAACTAGAATCTCTATTGGACATTCTTCTAAGATGTCAAGTCTTGTTATTATCTGTGAGTTGGATGTTAATTACACAAAGTAGGTGAATATTGGCCATTGACCTGTAGACTCAAGGCCTATGAGAAGTAAAAGGATCAAAATAATCTAACCTATTCCCCACAAATTTTATCTTTTCTGTGTCAGGAGCAGGAGATATTTTAAGATGAATTTCATTACCAGGTTTGGCTAATCAGAATTACCAAATAACCATAATTGTTCTGCATCCTTGCTTCTGTAGGCTCAGCCTCAGGATATCACCTTCAAAAGAAGCAAAATTAGGGGAAAAGGCAATGTCATTGGTGAATGCATGCAAGAAAAAATGTGAGCTTTTAGCTCCAATATATCTTGGAGCTTTAGCAAAACCACTTTAGTAAAATAAAAATAATCATAAATTTAATGTTCAACAGTTATTCTGATCTGTTTAAAGCAACCCCACATTGTCATACTCTGATAAGATTTTGGGTGCAGGTGCTTAATATCATAATTCTTGGAGCATCCTTCCCTCATCCTGTTCTTCCTTAGCTGATACACATTTTTCCTTGAAGCCTCAATTTAGATGACACAAGAACTAGGAAAACATCTCTTGTCCTCTACCTCTTCAAATGTCAGTTCAGCATCCCATGCATGGGTACCTAAGTAACTGGTGCTTGATGATTTTGGCAAGCCTCATGCTGGAAGAGTCATGTGAAATACATGACTACGCAGATTCTTTAAGAAATACAGAAATACACCATTTAACATAAAAAAGGCTTGGCTAACATTTGTGGCACCCAGCAACCCTGTCCTCATGCTTTTCACATTTTTGCAGCAAGCCCTTTTCCTTGACTGTGGGCTGAACTTAGACTAATTCCCAATGCATGGATGATGCTCATGTGATGAGATGTGACTTCTATGACTCGAGTTCTATCCTGCTCTAACTCTTTTGTTTGACCGAAGCCACCTACCATGATGGGAGCCCATGTGGCAATTAATTGATGTCTGCAGCCAACAAGGGCCTGAAGCCATCAGACAATCATTCATATGACCAGAATTCTAGCAACAACCACATGAGTGAGCATGGGAGCAAATTTCTCTCACAGTTAACGCTGCATAGGAAACTCCAGCCCTGGCCTACACTCTCACTGAGGCAGGGTACCCACAGGAACTGTGAGCAGCTTGGTGTTTTAACTAAGTGTTGGGCTAATTTACTATATAGCCATAGATAACAAAACAATATCATTTGCATAAAAATGAAACTATAGTAATGAAGCCATTTTGTGAGTTATACTAGGGCCTTATTCTGATCTGGCTGAAAAGCCCATGAGAGCACTTCAGGCATAGAAAGCCAAGACACTGTGGGGAAAAAAAAAAAAATCCTATATGAGGGACTTCTCAGTGAGTGAGACCCTAGTGGAAAGAAGGGGCCATCAAAGAAGGAGGTACTTGTTCTCTGAAGGGAGAAGAGAACTTCCACTTTGCTTGTCTAAATAATGACAGAGATTGTGGATTCAAAAGGCTTCCATAGCCTTGGCAGCTCATGTCAAGAGCCTCGGGTGGTCACTGACGTCACACATAAAAGTGCTGTTAAATTAACAACAGGAGTCACTGTGCACTAACTTCCCATGCAGGACCTCTGTCCTCAATGAGTTGCATTATGAGAGTTAACTGTAAAACTTATTCTCTGACAGTTTTTTATATTTTGAGTGTATGTGTGCAAATTGATAAAAACTTGACTTAGTATAGAGCTGGTCTTCTGTGTATAAAGTTAATTGAAAATGAATCTTAATGGAGAATGGGACTGGGAATGAGAGAAGGAGGAAGAGGTGGGGTGTGAGTGGGGGTGGGAGGGTGGGTATAGTGGGAAGAATCTCTATATTCCTAAAGTTGTACTTACGAAATTTGTACTCATTAAATAAAAGAATTCTAAAAAAAAAAATACTTGGGCCTTGAGACCATCAGATGTGATTTTGCAGCATTCACTCTCTTTTTTTAAGGTTTATTTATTTATTTGAAAGGCAGAGTTATAGACGGAGAGAGGGAGAGACAAAGAGAAAGGTCTTCTATCTGCTGGTTCACTTCCCAGATGGCTTCAACAGCTGGGGCTGGTCCAGGCTGAAGCCAGGAGTCAGGAGCTTCTTCTGGGTCTCCCACATGGGTACAAGGGCCCAAGCACTTGAGCCATTTTTCACTGTTTTCTCAGGCCATAAGCAGAGAGCTGGATTGGGAAAAGGAGCAGCTGGGACACAAACCAGCACCCTTATGGGATGACCGTTGCCAGGGAGAGGCTTAACCTACTCGGCCACAGGACCAGCCCTGCAACATTCTCTCTTCAGGGAGCTTTGAGAACCATTTTCCAGTCCACAGTAGACTCAGTGTACCACTATTTAGAATCTAACCTTGGAATTAGAATTATTACTACTGGTCTCATATGCAAAAGCTGGAAGGTAATTTTAGTGTTCCAAATAGCATTGTTTATCATATGATTCCTGGAACTAGAATCAGAAATCTGCATTTGTATCTTATTTCCACCCTTCACAATCTGTATGAACTTGAATGTATTTCCTAAAGCTTTTAAAAAATATTTATTTATTTATTATTTGAAAGGCAGAGTGGCAGAGAGCGAGAGTGAGAGTGAGAGCGAGAGCGAGAGAGAGAGAGAGAAAAGAGAGAGAGATCTTCCATCTGCTGGTCACTCCTCAGATTGCTTCAACAGCCAGAGCAGGGCCAAACTGAAACCAGGAGCCCAGAACTTAATCTAGGTTTCCCATGTGGGTGACAGGGGCTCAGGTACTTGGGACTATCATCTGTTGCCCTCGCGGGAGCATCAACAAGAAACTACATCCAAAGCAGAAGAGCAAAGCCTCAAAGCAGTGTTCTGATATGGGATGTCCAGTTGCAAGCAGCTGCTTAACCCACTGCCCCGTAATTTCCTAAAATTTCCAGCCCCAATCTCTTAAAACTCTGTTAAGTTAGTTCTTGCATTTGCATAACATGACCAGCTTCACCTACCTCACAGAGGAACAACAACAACAAAAAAATCTAGTGGCCGGCACCACGGCTCAATAGGTTAATCCTCTGCCTACTGGCGCCGGCACACTGGGTTCTAGTCCCGGTCGGGGCACCTGATTCTGTCCCGGTTGCCCCTCTTCCAGGCCAGCTCTCTGCTGTGGCCCGGGAGTGCAGTGGAGGATGGCCCAAGTGCTTGGGTCCTGCATCCGCATGGGAGACCAGGATAAGCACCTGACTCCTGCCTTAGGATCAGCGCGGTGCGCTGGCCGCGGTGGCCATTGGAGGGTGAACCAACGACAAAAGGAAGACCTTTCTCTCTCTCTGTCTCTCTCTCACTGTCCACTCTGCCTGTCAAAAAAACATTAATTAATTAAAAAATAGCATAAAAATCTAGTATAAAATGGAAAAAAAATAGCCATTGAATGTGAATCTAAGAGTACTGTTTCCCATTAGAGTCTTCAGGTGAAGCACCAAATAAGAAAAATTACCCTGGAAGAACAGAAAGTTGAGGGAAGAAATTGGTCAGTCTGGCAAAGAGGTAAATGAAGAAAGCAATAATGGCTAAAAATAAAAATCACCTCAACATTATTTTTGTCTTTGACAGACAGGAAGAATCAGAAAAAAAATGAACAAAAAAATTTCAGTGAACACAAGAATGAACTATTCAAGATTACTCCCTAATGTTTAAGGGGAACAAAAATAAAAGGTAGGGGCTGGCACTATGGTGTAGCGGGTTAAGCCACCACCTGCAGTGCAGACATCCCATATGGGCGCTGGTTCGAGTCCTGGCTGCTCCACTTCCAATCCGGCTCTTTGCTATGTTCTGGGAAAGCAGTAGAAGATGGCCAAGTCCTTGGGCCCCTGCACCTACCTGGGAGACCTGGAGGAAGTTCCTGGTTCCTGGGTTTGGATCGGGAAAGCTCCGGCTGGTGCAGCCAATTGGAGGGTGAACCAGAGAATGGAAGACCTCTCTCTCTCTCTGCCTCTCCTCTCTCTGTGTAACTCTGCCTTTCAAATAAATAAATAAATCTTTTTTTTTTTAAAAGGTAAATTTATTTTGGAGGCAAAAAAATTGAAATCCACACATAGTTTTTTCTTGGAATTCTCTTGAACTTTTTGAATACCTTTTAGGGTGATGGAACAGAGACATAAGCTTCAGCCATTCTTGTTCATTGCCCAAAAGATAGATAAACATTGGAATATATTCCTTGCCCTTGAATCTCAATTGGGTCTCACACCCTATTACCTTTACACCCCACCCCCTGCATTCTTTCCCAGGTTCCCAAGGTCCCACACAGCCACCTGAAAGACCAGTTCCAGGAACTCACCTCCACCTGCTGCACCCTACCCCCTCCTCCATCCCTAGCCCTCCTAAAATATAAAAAGGCCCACCCCTGGGGCTGGGGCTTTCTACCTCAAGTTCCATCAATGTGCACTCCAGTAGTTGGTCACCCGCCTCTACGAATTTATTTTCCCTGAATGAATTCGGCCTGGCTGTAGATTTATATACTGCTTCCTATTCTGTGCCTCTTTTCCTAACACATGGATTGCAAAATTTTTTGCACCAAAAGAAACTTGTCTTCTCATTCCAGTTTTCCATGGACTTTTTTTTTTAATTAGAAAAGCACAGAGAGACACACTGAGATAGAAACAGACTGACACACAGAGACATAGAGAGAGCACACCCATCTGCTGATTCACTCCCCAAATGCCTGCAATGCCAGGTAGGAAGCCAGGAACATCATCCAGTCTCCCTTGTGAGTGCAGGAACCCAATCACTTGCACCTTTGCTGCTTCCTCCCAAGACTTAGACTGGCAAGAAGGTGGAATCAGGAGCTAGACCTGGGTGTTCCACTCAGACACTGTCACGTGGGACACAACCATCTCAACTGGCATCCTAACTGCTAGCTACGCACCCACCCAATCCCAGCCTGTATCTGCCGCACCGTGGATTTAAACTGTTTTCAGAATGTTCTAGTTAATAGGCTAGAACTTGTTAAATGGAAACGTGATTAACCATGAAGATAAATCCCAACAACCTTCTACAGACCCTCCTCTATCCAAATCCTTAGAGGGTGCATATTTGGTGCAATGGTTAAGACATCACCTGAGAAGACCAGGCCCCATGTCTGAGTGCGTGGGTCCCCAGTTCCAGCTTCCTGCTGATAAGCAGGATGGTAGCAGCAGTTGATGGTTCAAGTGCTTGGGTCCCTGCCACTCACATGGGAGACATGGATTGAGTTCCTGGTTCCCAGACGTTTGGGGAGTGG